AGTAGTAGCAGTAGTAAGAGTAGTAGGAGTAGTAGCAGTAGTAGTAGTAGTAGTAGTAGTAGTAGTAGCAGTAGTAGGAGTAGTAGGAGGAGCAGTAGTAGTAGTAGTAGTAGTAGTAGTAGTAGTAGTTGCAGTAGTAGGAGTAGTAGGAGTAGTAGTAGTAGTAGTAGTAGTAGCTACTACTACTACTACTACTACTACTACTACTTCAACTACTAATTACTGCTACTACTCCGACAACTACATCTACTCCCAGACCTAATAGTAGTACCAGTACTCGTACTAGACTAGTACTAGTACAGGTACTGCCAACTCGCTCTTCAGCCTGGCGTGCTGCTGCCGCGCGCGTCTCTTCTGTCGTGTCCTTCAGAGCAGGTTATTGCTATCAGGGCCTGGAGGAATTTTGACTTTCTCAGCTGTTTGGGGCTTGATGCCTGAGCTTGGGGCCTCGGATTAAGAGCTTGAGACTTCGCTCTGCCGAAGGTGGCAGCTTGCAACCAATGCCGCTCCCAAGGGCGGAGAAAACCATGATGTCATGTCGATACATATATATGTATATATATATATGTATACACATACATTTATGTATATATGTGTGTGTATGTACATATACAAAAATATGGACCATGCTTCATGACATGTGTTGGTATGTATATGTACATGTCAAGGTGTAAATACAATAATTAGGAGGCAGTAAGATGACATGCACCTGATGCTGCACGTGCATGTTGAAAAGTATGTACATACATTGCATGTACATATACAACCTCGAGGGGGGACAAGTGGGCTTTGTAATACATATGTTCATGTCCAATCTACTGCGCCTGCCACACGAAACAGGCTTCTTCTTGCAAAAGTTGACAGCATGCTTTTTTTTGCGTGTGCAATTTGGAATTGCTTCAAACTGGCGCCCCCCCAGAACAAGCCAGAACTGCGCAGACATGCCGACTCCTGCATATACATATACATACACACGTACATATACGTATACATATACATAATATAGCATATGCAAATGCAAATGCTATACAATACATAACACACACGTTTATACATGTATATCTATATATACACACATACCTACACACATACATACATGCATGCATACGCACGTATGTACATACATATATACGTACATACATGCATAAATACTTACTTACATACCTACTTACTTACTTGCTTACTTACTTACTTACTTACATACATATATATATATACACATATATATATACACATCGTTATGGAGTTTTGGATTCATGCGTCCATTTATCTCATTGGATTGTCTAATTAGCTACCCAAGTGATTGTTGATTTAGTCTGTTTTATGTGTGATGCCCAATAGGTTGAATGGATCGGGTATGCACAAGAATATTTATATATATATATATATAGTTATATATGCATATATGTGCCTATCGTATCCAAGGCACAGCTCGGTCCGCTACAAGTAGGTGCCAATCTCCGACCGTCCGGAAACGTTTAAGTTGAAACATACCAGGGAACGACCAAGACCTTCAAGCTTCTCGTAATGCCTGTCGAAATCGAAACATGCAAACGCTCACGGAACTTCAGCACAGCAGTAGTGAAGCTTCCTCTTAACGCTAGCATCTTGTATCGGATTCCTGGATAAACATACCGCACTTCATTTCGACACCTCTCTCTCCCTCCCTCTGGCCTCTGAGGGATGTACAGTACCGTGATGGGCTTCTAGGGGGCTCAAGAATACATGTCAACACGTCGGGTTTAGGCTGGCAAGTGCAAAGTATGGTTCGAGATAATACGCAACATAAATCATAAATACAGAATGTTATCTAACATGTGGTATACCCGCTCCTAACATGATGCCAAGGAGCTGGGACACTCCTCCGGAGGCGGGCATAGAGTTGGACCATCCGGTTCCGCCAATGTGACGGGTAAACTGTTCTTTGCCCAGGGTTGCAGTGGACCTGGAGCAAAGCATGAGCAGGGTATAGGGATGGAGAGGTTGAGGGGTTAGGGTTTAGGATTGGGCTCCGGGCTTACGGTTCAGGGCAGAGTCTTGAGGATAAAAGCTTGTAGCTTCTGGAAGATTTCATATGAAGCTGTAGAACTGCAGTTCTTATGAAGCTCGGGAGGCTTCCATTGTACTCGACTTGGACTCAGAGAACACTGCAACCTTTTGGCAACAGGTCCTGCTTGTTCACAGATTGGCCGTGCTTAGTGGCTTGGTGTGTGCTTCTCGGTCGTGCCGAACAGATTCTTGGTTCCAGTTCTTTACGCCCTACTGCGGGCAACAAAAGCCCGTTGTCGTCCATGCGAGAAGCTGTGAATCAGTGAGGGAGGTGGGGTGACCTGGAAACGGCGTTGGGTCAAGGACCTCCGCTCCAAGGAGCAAAGGCTTTACCCTAAACCCTAATGTAGGGGCCTTAAAAACCAGAAAGGGTTTTGGGGTATGTTATACCATAATTAAAACAAGGAACACCCACAATAGTATAGGAAATCATTTCGGCCTCGATAGATTAATCCCCCTACCGTTTAGATTCAACTTTCAAGCCCTACAGCATCAGTCCTACAACGATCTAGGCAGGATTTCTTCTGCAGTCTCAACCCTAAACCCCTAAACCCTAAACTCTAAATCCCTAAACCCCCAAACACCCAAGCCCCTAAACCCTAAACCCTAACCTCTCAACCCTAAACCCCTAAAGCCCCAAACCCCTGAACCCCTAAACGGTTCTGCCCTTGAAAACGGGAGCGACAAGCCGGTACTGTAGCTGGCTCTCTGGGGTTTTTCCAATACTACAAAAGGCACGGTTTAAAGTTTGGGGTTTATAGGGTATAGGGATTAGGGAATAGGGTTTAGGGTTTAGGGGTTTAGGGGTTTAGAGGTTTAGGGGTTTAGGGTTTAGGGGTTTAGGGTTTAGGGTTTAGGGTTTACTGTAGTATGATATAGCAGACTATAGTACCCATGCACATGGTACACTCAGAACGATTATGGCAAGTAGCGTGAAATGTGGCGCAGGTTTCACTGGCGAACGGCATAGTGTCGGCTCTGCAAAGCGTTCGAACGCGGCACATCCATCTCAACAACTAGCCTTTTATCACTTCAGCCGTAACCTCCAACCCTAGTCTCAGGAAATTCAACGCTCAAAGCAGAGTAGCTGTAGGGGTTCCTCCAAGTCCTCCTCGCACCTCTTCTACGATTCGTGCGTCCGCGACATCGCTGTTCGGTAAACTGTGTCTGAACCATTGACAGCACGACTGAGGCGCAAACCCAGTGGTTGTCGGAGAACCTTCCGACCGGCTTCAGTCTTTGTGACTCTTTGTGCTATACTGCACTACTATACTCTACTATACCATGCTATAATCTACAATACTATGCTACATTACACTCGTTTTTGACTTGGGTAAGTGGGGAGTCGGGGTTAATTCGGTTCAGCTGAAGGGTTTGTAAAGCACGGCTGCACCCGCTTTCGGCATCATCAGAATTTTGCTGTCTACGGTTCCATGCCGCTCACGTAGAACGAGTTAGCACCCTCTTGCTACATGCCTCCCACAATATGATGGTAAATTATAGCATATTACAGAATATTATGATATTTCATGAAATACTAAATAGTAGATGTGCAAGTAAGAAGTTTGTCAAACCCAGGACAACCCCTGCCCCAGCGAATTGGAACCCCATCGATGCAAGCCCCGACGCCGAATATGAGTTCTTTACAGTATAGTATGGTGTAGTTTAGTATAGTATGGCATGGTATGAGTCCTTATAGTATATTGCAGTATCTTATAGTATAGTCCTTATAGTATATTGCAGTATCTTATCGATCACTCCCCCAAACCCTAAACCCTAAACCCTAAACCCTAAAACCTAAACCCTGTCTGAGCCTGGAGGACCGAACATGCTCTCTGACGGGGTGTTCGGCCCCGCGATGCTCAACGAGGCAGCTGGCGTTTTCATATTCCTCAGGTCTTCCGCTTGATTCCTAAACCCTACTTGGAGGTTAATGGGTGGTTATAAGTCGGGTTATAAGTAGTGTAACTATACTTATAACCTATTAAGGGACTTATATCCCCACTTATAACTACCCATGAACCTCCAAGTAAACACCATAACCCTGGGATTTGGTGTTGACCGGCACCGGCAAGGAGTCTGCAATAAAACGAGACACAGTCTAGTAATTTCAGAACCTTTCAGAGTGAGATTTGTTTTGGGAGGCGTGGGTTTATTGACATGCCATAATTAGACTGGGAACTAGAAGGAAACATTCCTCAAGGCGCCTTTGTAGACACAGTTCAGTATGTCTTGTCTCTTTGCAAGAGTGGAAAAAGTGATGTCGAAAATTGCCTTTAGCGCATGTATTTACGGCGTTGTGTCGATGGGTGCCCTCTGCGAGCATGTGGCTGAGGGAAGGGAAGCCATGAGAATCTGACATGTCTTCGAGGACAAAAAAGTGCGGTCATTACGAACACCTGGTGGGCGAGTTCTGGCAATGGTATAAAGCTGCCTTCTCGAAAAGCCACAGAAGCCGTAAGATTGGAATCGTGGGCAATTTGCCCGCAGTGCAAGACCATCTACGTTTCCCAACACTAGCGAGTTCAGGTAGAGGGAGATGTGTGTTCGTCTCTGATACCGAATGCTGTTAGATTTACAGGCTTGACGAGATGCCTCAATATACTACCATGTGATACAATGCAGTTTAGTATGCTATGATATACCATATGACAATTTCCCACGAAACACTCTAGCATATCACAACATGGTACAAGACGTGTACATTATGGCGGAAGAGCAAAATCACAAGATGATGTAGTAAACTTTGACAATGCATAGTTAGTATAGCACAATACAGTTTTAAGCCCTATTTCATAAAGCCAATGGTATATTAAACCACTATTTTGTCAAATGTAATATCACATGATCGAAGATATCTTGAAACAGTGCAATATAACATAACATAATATAGGTATACTATACAATCTTGTAATAAAATGGAATATGATATGCTATAGTACAGCAACGTATAGTGTAGCGTATTAGAAAACAAGACAATTTAAATCATGATGTACAATGAAAGTTGATCTGATATATCAGCATGGCAAAGTCTGGTATAGCACTAGATTACACTATACTTGTTTTACCCCTCCCCCCTCCCAAGCGTTTCTTCGCTCTCCGAAAACCCTGACGGACAAGGAATTGAAGTCGAAATGCGCCGCAACCACAATAACAAGGGAGCATCAACAACAGCGCCAAGACACCAGTACAGGCAAGACCGAGGGTTCAAGTACCAATACCGTAGGGTCTTTGTAAGTGTTTGGGCCCCGACGGCCTAGACTACCCTGTTACTTGGACACTTTGGGATACAAGCGGCAGGAGCACTCTAGTCCAGGACCTCTGTGCACGAAACGTTCAGACGTAATCGCTGCTGGTCGGGATGAGGACTCCGGATCTCTTGTTGGTTTGTGGCTTACTTGGAGGTTCATGGGTAGTTATAAGTGGGGTCATAAGTCGCCTAATATGGGTTATAAATATAGTTACCCTACTTATAACCCTACTTATAACTACCCATGAACCTCCAAGTAATGGGTACTGACTTTAGAACAAACCGCAATAATTAAAGCCTGGCTCCTGGAGAACATCGGCAGCCCCATGTCTCTATGAGATCATTCCCCAATGCTCGAACTCCGGGTACGTGATGTTCTGGCTGCGTAAGGCTATAGCTGTAAGCCCGGTGCAATCCCTTCAAATTCACCCTCGTTTGCCAACTACAGATCTCCCAAACTGCAGCATCGCATAGTATCGTACAGTACACTATAGTTTTGGCCCAGCCTGACCTAGCTCGAGCTACAATGATCCTCTATATCCACAGTCCACTTCCTCGGCTCTATGCCGATGCCGCAAATCCTATCTTGAGGCAAAGCGCTTTGGACACAGCGCAAGAAGGCGCAGAAATCGACCATTTGGCGCAGACGGAAGTTTGATTGCCTCAGGATCCATTCTGCAAAGCTGCCATGGGTTTAGGGTTTTTCGGAACGTGGGCTTCGGTCGAACTCGAAGCCGCTCGCATCCGGTTTGTAGAGACATTGCTCTTTGTGATGCACAGCAAATCTTGGCGAACATTCCGAGGTGTAGGCTCTCTTAGGAACCCAAGGTAACAAGATCAGACTGTGGTGCGGAGACCTCTGGACTAGCAGACTAGCAGAGCGAACGCCCGAAAACTGAGACTTGCAGTAACGCCAACCCACAGGAATTTGCATGAACGTAGAGCAAGCCAATTGATCACTATGCCTAGTCTGCTTCAGCATGACCGGTGTTGTAAGTGACATCGACAAGATTTCGCTCATCCGGTCATTGCAAACTTCGTACATGTACCTACATGTAACACACCAGTCTTTTGAAGTACAAGTTGTGTAGGTGGCTGGGGCTTCGTAATTTTGCCATGTGTCATACTAGAACGTTGTCGGGATTGACGGGGTGCCATGGAATGGTGTCTCCTAGGGTCGGCACGAGTGTCACAATATCAAATAATTGAGAGCTAACATCTTAAGGCAAACTAATATAGGGACCTCAATAATTAGAACAGGGTTGTGGGGCCCCTTATACTATAACTACAATAAGGACCCCCAAAATAATATTGGTAATTATTTAGGTCCCTGTATTACGGCTCCGCTCGTGTTCTTGGATATCTCAGGTGTACAAATGCTCTTGATCCGGAAACCCCCCCTTCTGCTTCGCACAGATGTCTTTCGCCAAGAAGCAAAGCCACCAGCAGAATGGTTTCCTCTCTGAAACGTGCACCACGCTGACCTTGAATGGCGGGCTTGGGGAGCTGCTTCCCCCTCCTGCCGTTGCCTGCCTGCCTCGCCCTCCGACCCTGTCCCAATTCGGCGGAGAATGTCTTTCTGCACGCAGACGGGTTGCAAATGTGGTAAGTGCCCAAGAAATCTGGACGAATACAAAGGTGTTCGCCCAAAACACAACAGGCAGCCAGTATGGCGTTGGAAGGTTGGTTAAACTTGCACTACATCCAACCACCGTCAGGAAGTCAACAATAAAACGGGAAGCCTACACCCTAGATGCACAAGTATGCTTTCAGTATGCTTTTTGTCATACTCGGAGCTCAGTCTCGACTTTTCGATAAGGTCGGAGTTTGCCGCGCCAGGATTGGCCCAGCAACAGAACTGCAAAACTACGGGTATCCTCAAACGAAACCATACCATCGCTTTGCAACGGCCCCGCCCAAAGACCTCCATAGCGAAAATGCTATGACACTAGCGTGAAATATAGAACATGAAGAATGTACTTGACTAGCGTGAAATATAGAACATGAAGAATGTACTTGACTAGCGTGAAATATAGAACATGAAGAATGTACTTGAATATAGTATAAGAAGTATAGAAGAGTATCCAACGAAAGCCGAGGAGCTTCACATTCCTCAGCATCCTCGAAGCCTGTCGGGACCCCACGACTGGCAGTTCCAGTGCAATGTAAGGGTTCAAGATACTTTCTACCATTCCACTACAATTAGAGTAGGGAACCCTGAGGACTAGCCGGAGTAAGTCTTCAGGCTTCTAGATTGTTTCCTCTGCTTCTCTCAGGGACTTTCTTGGCGGACAAGTCCTAGGTCCTAGGTCCGAAGAGTGACTCGCACGGATGCCTTTGCACTGGGCTCGCTTGCTGTCGCTGTTCTGTTGCTGCTGCTGTTGCTGTTTGTGTTGCTGTTGTTGTTGTTGTTGCTGCTGTTGTTGCTGTTTGTGTTGCTGTTGTTGTTGTTGTTGTTGTTGGTGGTGGTGGTGGTGGTGGTGACCCTGCGAGTAGTACGAGCAGGTTCGGCAGAAATTAAGTCAACAACAAGCCCCATGCCGACACAGCGCTTGTATCAACAGACGCTCGAGCTAGGTACAGGCAATCAGCCTCGGCCAACGTGCACGCCTAGAAGCAACAAAACAGCCAGACACAGACAAAGGAACGGAGTCAACAAGATGTGCGAAAATAAAACTATGTTGTTACAGGCTGGCAACACACGCAAAGCAACAAACCTATCAACAGAACTCAAAGATGGACATATCGGCTGTGCCCGATGCAGCCCCAGTAGCGACTGTCATCAGAATCATAGTGTCAAAGACGAGGCTGAACAACCCAAAACCAAAGCCAAAGTATGCTTCGTCGCCCGGCCTGTTTTCAAGAGGCAAAGCGAGTAGTCGTTGAGGCAGCCCGATTGATCATGATCCAGTTCGCACTGTCTCTGCGTGTTTGCATGAATGAGCATCTTGCTCTCCACCTCGTCTGTGACGGACCGAGCAACCAAAGAAGTTTGCAAACCCAAACCCGCACATGGATGTTAAGAAAGCCTGCAGAATACAACTTCCTTCAACATCTGTGCATTGTATCCCTGTGCGGAGACACACAGATTGTCTTAGCATGAAGCGGAGACTCATTGAGAACTGACGCCAAACATCAGGGGGTCCCTCTCAGCCCCAAGCTTCCGAAAGGAGGACAGGAACATGGCTCGGCCTGAACTACTTGGAGGTTCATGGGTAGTTATAAGTAGGATTGTAAGTAGGGTAACTATAACCCACATTAGGGGACTTATAACCCCACTTAAAACTATCCATGAACCTCCAAGTAGGTTAAAATGAAGCGCATTCGCAAACTTATTGGCGGACACAGCTCGTGCTTGCAGTTTGCCAGGAAGTGTTCATCGTCAAGTTCGTGGTTGTTCGGCAGCGGCCACAGCAAACTTGCCGGAAAATATGACGACCAAGGATACACACGATTCCTATGAAGCTATGGGCCTTCTTCGCTGCTCAGGTATCGTATACAAGACTTGTGGTTGAGGGTTCTGTAGTTTCACCGCTCCTTCATCTGCTTGCACGAATCCACATGCTAGCTGTTCTGACCAAAAGTCCACACGATTCAAGGGGTGGCCCGAACAGAAGCAACAGCACCGGAGAAGGAACCCACGGCGGATTCCCATGTAAAGCCCAAAACCCTGAATGAAAAACCCTCACAGCATTCTACATATGGGTAGTTCTCTATTAGGGTCCCATTTAGGGTCCTGCTTATAAGGGTGCAGTATTGCTTTGGGGAGCTTAAGGGGGAGCCTAGCTTAGAGCACCACCCTTATAGTACCTGTATGGACACCCTATATGGGTGGTTGTCAAAATTATGGTCCCTTTTGGGGTCCTTCTTATAATACGGCACCTATTATTTAGGGTACCCCCAACGGGACCATAATTTTGACAACTACCCATATAAACCCTTGTAGATCCCCTTTAAGGAGCCCTAAGAAGGGACCCTAGTTTAGAGACTACCCACATGCTGCCGCGTTGCGAGCTCTAGACCTGAATCATCCTGCAGGGAGTTGGATGAGTTTCGGGTTTAGGATTTCAGGTTTAGGGTTTAGGGGTTAATGGATTAGGGTTTAGGGTTAAGGGTCCAGGGGTTAATGGATTAGGGTTTAGGGTCTAGGGGTTAGTGGATCAGGGTTTAGCGGTGAAGGGTTTTGGGACATGGTAGGGCCGCAAGGTCCTGTGCCTGCGGTCCCCCGAATAGGGCTCGGAGAACTCAGACTGTCAGGTATATACTGTTCGGTTTAGGGTTTAGGGCGATACCAAGGGTACTAACTTGAAGTCCTGTAACAGCCTGATCGATGCTCGTGCTGCTGCTACTGCTGCATTCTCTTCTTGTAGTTGGCTAGCCTACCTGGAAGTTCATGGGTAGTTATAAGTAGGGTTATAAGTAGGGTAACTATATTTATAACCCATATTAGGGGACTTATAACCCCACTTATAACTACCCATGAACCTCCAAGTAGCAGCTAAATGCCCAGGCTAAAGCTCTCGAAGCACAAGCCAACAAGAAGATTCAATCTCGCGGGTTTCATGCTCAAGGCAAACCATCGCCACAAAGATCAGTGCAAAGACCAAATAACATTCAAGCATAGCCAGGCAGCCCCGAACCCTAAACCCATGAAAGCCTGTAAAAGAACCCTAAGGGTCCCTTTAAAGGGACCCTCAGGATCATTTAAAGGAAGCGCTAGAGGCGTGCCATCCTGAAACCCCTGAACCCCCCGAGCCAAACACCTTAGACCTTATGAACCCTGAACCCTAAACCGTATGAACCCTCAACCCTCAACCTTATAGACCCTAAATCCTAACCCTTCTGAACCCTAAACCTTATAAACCCGAAACCATAAACCTTATGAGCCCGAAACCCTAAACCCTGAAAACCTTTGGAGAGACGCCGTTTTCCGGAAATGATGATGCTTGAGGCCTGAAGCCCGAGCACACATGGCCGGTTGTTCGAAGTTGTGAACTCTTTCAAAGAGTTAGAGAAGAGCTACTATAAGGGCTACTATAAGGAAAAGGAGGGCCTACTACAAGGCCTACTATAAGGCTTCTATAAGCGCTACTATATTGGCTACTATAAGGGTCACTCCAAACAACGAACCGCTGCTGACAAAAGTATACTGAAACCTATCCCGGCTTCTTCCCTAACCCGCTCTGGAACCCCAATTCAGTTTGGACAAGAGCCCACCTCATCTTTCGATGTTTCGGCCACCATGTCCGTGAGAGAGCGGGCGCGGTGGAGCTGAAGGGTGCAGAGAGCAACATTTCGGGGCTCTGATGCGAGCAAAGCACTCTCTTGCGCAGGGCTTCGGGTTTTGATGCTTGCCTGTGCCCTTAATGTGGGGGCCTTCTTGCTTGGAATCGGTTTGTGGTGTATCATACTACACTTACTATAAGGAACCCTAAGGAGACCCCTAAACCCTACGCCCCAAAAACCCTAAACCCTAAGACCCTAAACCCTAAAACCCGAAACCCTAAAACCCTAAACCCTAAACCCTGAAACCCTAAACCCTAAACCTTAAAACCCTAAACCCTAAACCCTAAAGGAACCTAGTTTCGAGGTCGGGGCAAGCTGGGGCCTGCACGACGAGCTCCGTCGAGGACCCTTTCTGCTTTAGGGGCCTTACAAGTAGAAATAGGGTTCCTTCAAAGAGCTCTTAAAATGGGTCTATAAGGGTTACTATAAGGGTTTAGGGTATATTCTAGGCTTAGACTAAGGAACCTCAAGGAATAACAATTGCTGACTCGATTCAGGCCCGTATACTAGATAGAAACATGCGAAGCGGAAAAGCCGAAATCCACAGGAAGTGGGCACCTTCTCACTCCAGCCTAGCAGACGCCACGTAGCTGCCTGCAGTCGACCGTGCTACAGTTTAGGGCTTAAGCAGGGTTCAGTTTTAGGACTAAGTTAGAGTTTGGTGGCCCTTGAAAAACACGAATGTAGGGGCCCTAATAGTTAGTGTTTTGAGGGAAGGATGG